ACACAGAAAGACACAGCTACACACAGAGGGTCACGTTCACCCCCAACCCCCCCCCACAACTTCAATTTTCAACATACAAGTTCTCTCATACACACAGTCTCCTACCTACATCTACACACACACACACACACACACACACACACACACACACACACACACACACACACACACACCAGTGCAGCTGCAGGAAGGAAGAGCAGCTCCTTTCTCCCTTTTGGCAGGGAGGGTAGAAGTTTCCCACTTTCCCTGAGATCCAATTTCTCCCCCTCCCCCTCAAACCCCTTGGCCTCCTCTCTTCTTGGGTCCTGTCCAGGCAGTGCTATGTCTTTAAGGAAGTTGATGCTGGAGAAAGGGGGAGAGAGAGAGAGAGAGAGGGAGAGAGAGAGAGAGAGAGAGAGAGAGAGAGAACACAACCCTAAAATATTTGGCCTCTTCCCCTCCAGTTAAGTTTCTGGTGTCACTTAGGAAACAGTCCCTCTTGCAGAGCAGCAGTCCTGTGTGCTCTTGGAGGAAGGGCGTGTGGGCTTGGGCTCTGACTCCCTCCTACATCCCTCCTGGTCCAGGGCTCCTGTCCTGCCAGGGGACACAAATTGTCCCTTCCCCCAGCATCCAGCCCTCCCCAGGGCACCCTGGCCTTGCTGACCCTCTGCTAACTCAGTCCTTTGTTGCTTTCTGGCTCTACCTCAGAAGAGCCTCGCCTGCCGAGGGAGAGTGGTTTGAAGGTAAGCTGGGGAGGAGGGCTCCAGCCAGAGGGCGGAGGTGGCAGCCTGTGGGATTCAGGGGCTTTCCCTTTGGAACCTCCAAGGTGTTGGGAACAGTCTCTTGCTGGGAGCCATCCCGGGAGAAGCTCCTTCTTGAACAGCCCAGACCCCCAAAATCCCAGCTGCATTTGGGCCGAGCCTCAGGCCTCGCCCAAGTCAGCCCAGAGGTCCGGGCGGGGGTGTTATTTAGGCAGCTGCCTGGCGCAGTTGGAACCAAACAGGCCAGGGTGTGATTCCTCAGAAAGGGCCTGGTGTCCGCTGTGGTCACGGCAGGAAGAGTGGGGGAGGTATGCACTGCACAAGGGGCCTTGTGTGGGCCAGGGAGAGCATACCTATGGGGGGGCTCAGTGGGAGGGACCATGTCCAGGATGTGGGAGGGCAGGAGGGAGGCTCTGTGATGTACTGGGGGAGGGGGCGGCTGGAAAACAGATTTCAAGTCATAAAGTCAGGCAGGGACGGGCTGAGGCAGGGAGAACTCTGTGCGGAGAAATTGGGGTCCTCGTCCATCCTGTCTCCACCCCGACTGGCTGTGCAACCTCGGCAAGTCTGGGTCCTTCTCCGGCCCTCAGTTTTGCCTTCTGCAGAGGGTGGGGGCTGGCGTTTTAGAGAATGCTGGGTTTTCCTTGTGTTTGCTGGGACAGGCCCACCCCCTGGGAAGAGCTTGGATGGGGACCCAGGGAGGAGGGGCCTCTGGGGCAGGTCCTGGGGTCAGGAGGGTGACACGCTCTCCTCTGCAGGAGGGATGATGCCGGGGCTGCGCCTTCTGTGCTGGGGGCTGCTCCTGGGCCTGGTGCAAGGCTGTCCTGAGCCCTGCGACTGCGGCGAGAAGTATGGCTTCCAGATCGCCGACTGTGCCTACCGTGACCTGGAGGCTGTGCCACCTGGCTTCCCAGCCAATGTGACCACACTGAGCCTATCGGCCAACCGGCTGCCAGGGCTGCCCAAGGGCGCCTTCCAGGAGGTGCCGCTGCTGCAGTCGCTGTGGCTGGCACACAATGAGATCCGCAAGGTGGCTGAAGGTGCGCTGGCCTCGCTGGGCCACCTCAAGAGCCTGGACCTCAGCCACAACCTCATCTCAGACTTTGCCTGGAGTGACCTGCACAACCTTAGTGCCCTGCAGCTCCTCAAGATGGACAGTAATGAGCTGACCTTCATCCCAAGAGATGCATTCCGCACCCTCCACGCCCTGCGCTCCTTGCAGCTCAACCACAATCGCCTGCACACGCTGGCTGAGGGCACCTTCGCACCACTCACGGCGCTGTCCCACCTGCAGATCAACGACAACCCTTTTGACTGCAACTGTGGCCTCGTGTGGCTCAAGACATGGGCGCTGGCCACAGCCGTGTCCATCCCAGAGCAGGACAACGTGGCCTGCACGTCGCCCCACGTGCTCAAGGGCACCCCGCTGAGCCGCCTGCCACCTCTGCCCTGCTCGGCGCCCTCTGTGCAGCTCAGCTACCAGCCCAGCCAGGATGGTGCTGAACTGCGGCCCGGCTTCGTGCTG